AGGAGGAGACCTGAAAGTAGGTTGCCACCTCTCAAAAGAAGTTTTAAAGAGCAAAAAACAAGGTGAGTACAACATCAGCCAAAACTATGATCAACCAATAAGAGTACAAGTACAGCTGAAGTAATATTGATCCAATGGGGAAACAGGTCATGTAGCAAGTGTACATGGAAAAACAGGACCTTTTTAGGAAGAGATGGATCAGGAAGTCCTGGTCACCTACCTGGGTAACTAATGTTTGTCTACACTTTACTGGATCAGGTATAATTTTCAATGTATTGCTTATCCTTCGGGGAGGCATGTAGGCCTGCTCATTCTGTCTTCATCTTGAGGCCTGGCTTTTGACAGATGTACCTCCAGCTACAGTTGTAATGTGTTCTCATCTTCTGCATTAACTTCCTAGAGTCATATAGCCCCTACTCCCTGTAATATTTCTACCTAACTTAGCTATCTATAACAATTGTGTTTCATGCCAGGAAATATTGCAAGAAGCAGATAATATGATCCCTGGTCTAAAAGAAATTTACAATCTAGCTGGAGACCATCCCACCACCAAAGCAAGAATTTTACCTCTGCACAGGTGAAATGGGAGTCACTGCATTGCAATGGTCAAGAAACATTCAGTAGAGATGGAAAACTGTACTATGAAGGTCTCGGACACTAAAAGATAAATTTCATAACTATTTTCTCAGCAGGTTTCTAATAAATATTTATAGAAGAACTAACAGAAAATGGGTGTTCACTATTTAACAGGAACTCTGAGAGATAAGAAAATGTGAATCATTTCCTCCACGTGGAAAAGGGGGCAAATATACCAAAAACCCTAGCATATGTGAGATTCACCTTCCAGGTGACAGAGGCAAAATGAAGACTGTAACAGTCTGACATGACACAAAGCAAAGCATCGATTCCTATAAACAAACAATTACTAAATTTTAAATAAACACCCTAGTCTTTGTATCTCCTTCTAACCAGCTTCATCGAAGCTATTTTTAATTCCTTGGTTTTCACTATGCAGTTCTGGATATGCAAATTCCAAATATGATTCCTCTGCCACGTGAAGCCCATAACTCTTCTTCAACCAGGCATGTTCTTCTTAGGCACTACTCAAAAATCATGTCCCACAGAGCACCCCCCTCTTCTAAGCAGGCAGCCCCTCCATCCTGTATGGCCTCGCACTACTTTGTTCATTCCTCCTTTAGGGTATTTACTGTATTTTGCTGTGATTCTCTTGCTTTAGGTAACTGAATGACTTACTAGGATAGATTCGTTGTACAGGTCTTTGATGGGCTAGCACACAACACACAATAGAAATAAAAATGTTTGAATTAATTTATTGCATGTTTCCTTATTGAAGCACCACTGAGCAACATAAATGACACACGAATGCTCACCATTAGGCCTTTTCTTGCGTTGATTTTTTTGGTAACACTAAAGGTTTAACAATAAAATGGAAAATATTTTTAGGGAGTTTAATTAAAGAAACCCAGTGCACATCTTAGTCATTAATCTTAAAACAAGAAAATCTCAAGTACTTGCAAATATATGAAAAAAATATACCACTGAATGTCTTTGCTGCTAGTAAAGTCATTTAAAGGAGCTAGATAATGGTCGATTTAAGGGTAGAGTATTTATACTGCTGAAGAACACTCAGGTTTGACTATGGGAGGCACAGATGACAGGACTAGCATTGTTTTGAAGGTTAAGAAACTGAATGTAATCTCCTCTGGGGAAAAGAAGATTTCTTTCCTCATTGAATTTGAAGCTGGGCTGAAAACACCAAAAGCTTCACTAGGCCAGTTGATGTGCCATTAACGAAAACACAGTTAGATTACTTTTCTCTAAGAGTGTATCATGGCTACAATTCTAGCTCTTGTGCAAACTAGCCTTGTGATTTGGAGCAAATCACTTGCTTTTGAAAGCTTTTACGTGTTTAAAAATTTGTCTTGTTAGTATTGCACATTGTTTACCACAATAAACTAATTTCTTCGATGGTAGCCAAAGATATTCTACCATAGTTTATTTACAATAACCAAGAAATTTCTCTGAGTGTAAAATCAATAAATACCAATAGTGAGAACCACCTGCTAGAAACTCTGTTCATAAAAAAACAAACAAAACTTGAATGTTGTACATTTACCTAGGCCAAAGGGACAGTGTCCCATTGGACTACTGAAAACATCATCTAGCATTCATAAGCAACTGAGAGCCACAGGTACATTCTGCTTTATGATGATAATGTCCCATGTCACAGAAAAACCTTTACCCAGGCTTTTTAAAAATCTATCATCCCAAAGATTCCCTGTGGCAGCAAAGAAATACCTTGCATTTTAAAAGTGAACACAAAGCATGGTTTGGTTTCTATACTTTCACAGGAGGAAAATACCGTATGCTGTATATTTATATTACAGGTTTCTTCAACTGCCTGTGAAGCAGCATCATTACCCCCATACAAACAACTTATAGTACTTAAAGGTGGGCGGGCAGATGTTTGGATTTAAGTATTCTCCCTTGACAGCCTCAGTTTTAGTGTAACCTCAACGTCATCCTTGCCTCCAGGAGCTCTGGCTACTTCTAGGCAGCACCAACATACCACATCCTGGGCATCCTTAGGTCGCTGGCTCCTGCGTATTAGTCTAGGAGAGCTAAGCCATCGGAAGACAGACAGAACAGAGAGGAAGAGAGGTGCCATCATCATAGGTCAAGAGAAATATTGTTTAATTAAAATGGAAATGGCTTTTCTTACGTGGTTTGTAAATGTCTTTGCAGGCAATTACAGTAAAAGAAAAGTTTCAAAGATGGTCTAAGTAGTACTAGCATCACTATATTTATTACATGGCTTCCCAAAAAAGTAACATTTTAAAAGATAGCAATTATGTTGATTCTGTGAATTATGCTAAGTAAGATTTGCTTTAAAAAGCATTAAAGTTCATGAAATAGTATAAAACCATTGTTTAAACAATGGCTATAAACTATGAAAAAATAATTTGTAGGGTGGGATGGAAAATACCTTAATTTTATAGTATAAGGATCAAAGTCAATGCTATGCACTTCTGTAACAGTCATTAAAAAGTACGAGGCTGCAGACAGCTGAGGAGGAATCAGATCAAGAAGCAGAAAGCGAAGTTACAAAGCTGGCCTTACAGACTATGTATATGGGGTCTGGGGAAAGCAGAATATACGACTCACCTCAGAGAGAGGCAGCATAGTATGGCAGAAATATAATATTTTTCATAGTTCAACAAACCAGTTACACCCTGGCTTCTCCCCTTTGCAACTGAATAACCCTCTGCAAATCATTTAATTCCTCTGAGGCTTGGTTGACCTAAATGGCAAACAGTGTATTCAGTAAATATCAGTTCTGCTGTAAGGGGTTTTCTTCAAACTAAGGGCTGCAATCTATGTATAGACAAATCAATGTAATGTGTTACAATTGGCATATTTTATAAACAAACAGTAAAAGCATGAAAATGCACTGCATAAGATGGTATAAATATTGTTTCATTATTTATATGCTGTTTTTATATAAATGCTCTTTTCACTATGGGTTACACCAAAAACTCAAAATCTCTGCTCTTCAGAGAAAATTTCAGATCATATCAAAAAAGTCCTTAGAAGTGCTGCCTTTATCCAAATAAGCACCTACAAATACTGAAACCTTAATCAAAATGTTTCTTATTGCAGTAGAAAATAAGACATGAATCATAAGATAAATTTATCTGACACTGTAGGGGATTAATTCAGCTTTAAGATTGGTTTCTGTGTCATACCCATTCATATGTATAAGCATTTTACAGTTTATAGATATTTCCTGTATAGTTCATTAGACACTTTAACAATTTCTACAAAAAGTTGGCTATTAGGGGAAATGAGATACTACTTCTAAGTAACTTTATAAAACATTTTTAAAGGTCTGTAGATTGCTACAGGATGAAGACTGCTGGAGTAATATTCCAGCCCTGGTGAGCAGTAAAAGTTGAAGACTGAGGACATACAACTGGGTTCCACATGGCTCAGTAAAAATGAAAATCCCAGAACAGAATGTGTGCTTCAAATACAGGGTCAGGCCTCCTCTCTCCTTCAGGTCCTTATGAATCTCTAGTGTGTTTCTAAGATGTTATGTTTAATGTATCACCAAAGTAGGGCTGTGAGGATCAGGTTAATGTCTGGCTGAGTCGGGAGCACCGCACCCATCTCTCCTGAGAAAACTCTGAGGCCTATTTAGGGCTGGAATAATCCGCGCCCTTGGGTGTGTAGAGATCTGACCTTAGACAGATAAACTGTTCCTCTCAAAAACCTCTGAAGTCCTGACTCCATTGCCTCAGCCCCTAAAGCAGAAATCCGAAAACTAACATGTGGCCAGTAACAATGTGCCAAAATATCCCGACTCCACCCCCGCCTTACCTTATATAAGCCTGTGCATTTCCTGAATAAAGCGGAAGTGTTCCAGAAACCACCCTGGAGTCTGCGTGGTGATTCCGCACTGTGCCCTCCCAGTCCAGGCCCCGGAACCTTGTTCCACGAGTGGGCTCAGACGAAAACAGGGTTAAGTGGAGTATTATGCAGCAACAAATCAAGGCAGAATATTGGAAAGTGACACAACTGAATCTTGAGGTAACTGTATCTTAAGTCTATAATATCAGCCAACTAGATTAGACTAGCTATATCAGATTCATCCCTGCAATTGAGATATAAGAATCTTGTTTTAAATAAACATCTGGGGCAATATGCCTGGCTCACAGGCACAGGGTACTGAGTTTGATACCTGGTACCCCCCAAAAAAAGTATAAATAAATAAACATCTGGGTGAATTCTGATCCTCACTCAAGTTTGAACAGTGTGTGGATGGGACAGCAAAGACCAAAGTATAGGAAAAAGTGGGTAGCAAGCTGGGCATGCTGGCCACACCTGTAATTCCAGCACTCTGGGAAACTGAGACAGAAAGATCACGAGTTTGACCCTAGGCAACTTAGTGACTTAGCAAGACCATGTCTCGAGATTTTAAAAAATAACTGGGGATGTAGCTCAGTGTGAAGGCCCTGGGTTCAATCTCCAGAATAGCAAAAAAAGTAATTACTCCAACTTTACAGGTGTCCAGTATCAGACACTGGATCACAATCTGATCCTTACCAGATTTTTCTTTTTTATTAAAGATAAAAGTAAGCAGATAATAATTGCTATCTGCCAGTTATTTAAAGATAATAAGAAATGGTGCTTCGTCACTTTTAGAATTCATTGATGAGATGCAAAATTATGAAAGAGATCTCTTTGGACACAGAAGTGAAAGGTAACAAATAGTTACTTAAAGCAACCTCAGCAAGAGAGAAGCTAAGTGATAAACCATTCGATCTGGTAAGCCCAGCTTGGGCAACTGTTCATACCTTATGAGGGGCAAATGCCCATTCCTGTCTTCTGAAAAAAGTAAAGAATAAGGCAAAAAGGTGGTTCCTTCCTATTTCAAATGATTTGGGGGTACAGAGTGAGACTGCTTGTAATCTTAGGTTTTTTCTAAGTGTGAAATCTTTTCTGTTTGAGACACACATGGGGTTGGGCTGTACCATGCTTGATGTCAGTGTCAAGTGTTGGTATTAGCACCACAAATACTTCTTTGGGACTAAATCTTGGCACCTGGCTTTGTCACTCCAAAGAATGTGAGAAAAATTAAGCATAAATGGCATTCTTGGGAAGAAACAGCAATGTGAAAAGTACAAGAGATAAAGAAGCCTGTGGAAGGGATAGGAGTAATAGTGGTGAGGTAGAAAGCTAGTTCTTTGCTCCCCCAAAGGCCAGCTGAAAAGGATACAGGACCAGAGGGCCCTTGTGTAGTGGATACATCAGCCCCTCAAAACTAGATACTGTCTCATGATTTCTGACACTCCTTATTGTTAGCCCAAACTCTAATAATGCTGGAAATATTTGGAAGTTTTCCTTCTTTTTTCTTACGGGATAGGGTAAACAGAGATGGCAAACAATACTAAAAGGCAGACGAAGAGAAAAGTGCTCATTACATATGAGCAGAATCCAGCCCACAAACTGAAAAGCTTTTCAAAGTTACAAGGGTGGGAAAACACAGGGCATGAGATGGTCGAGGTGGCAGGAGACAGGCTGACACAGTGATCTCAGTGACTGGCCTGGTATGTCTCCTACCACTTGATATTCAGTGTTATTTACTTAAGAGAAGCAGAGGAAGAGTTCTAAAAAGTAGCCAGTGTCACAAAGACATCCGAAAGAGGAGCCGGGCCCCTTCCATTTTCTTATACTATTACTTTCCTTCACCTAAAAATAATGTAAGTTGGTTCAAACTACAAGCAGGTTCACCAAATAGATTCCATTTTGCAGTTTATCTGTGCCCCTAGTTTCCTCTTGAATCCCAATCTGATAGGAAGACTTCTAAACTCATTCTTTTCTTCACTAACACACCTGAGTAATCTACAATACACTGTGTCCTAAGGTCTCCAATTGAAGGACATATAAGTCCTTCACCGAGTTTAAGTAGGTTTAGCTTTCACGTTTGCAGGCAGAAAATTTGCTCCTTGGTAGTCTTTAAATTTGACCTGACTGAACACTACACACTCTAAGCTGCTCAACCCCTAACATCTCCAACACCCAGCAAAAAAAAATACATGTTATTACAGTTCAATCACATTTGGGCATCCAGAACCACTGTCCCAATATGCAGTGTTCCAAAAGCTGATTGAGTGTCCAATAGCAGCAAGGTGCTTATTAGGATCAATATGTTGGTGCCAATAATATCAAAGTCTGGTTTTTAACTGCATTTTTTGTCAGTTTGGCTGTGAAGATCTGGACAGCTGGAAGTGAGCTTCTCCATCATTTTCTGTTTCCTTCTTTGTATCAATTTTCCACCTGTGAAGCCTAACACCCCACCACCAAGTGCAGCTGCAATTCCTGCCACTTTGAAGCCTGCAAGGAGGCCAATTGGACCCCCTACCACTCCTCCGATGAGTGCACCTGCCACAGGCAGAGCTGCCAGCTTGTATTTTGCAGCCTGTAGGAAAAAAAAAAAATTCAATTTAGAAATTGAGTTGAGAATATCTGCCTGTGGTGATGTGCATTTTCCTCTCATTACTCCTGGCAATGCCTCTTTAACTCTTGGTACATAATTAACTTTAGAGATTGGGGGAGGGGGACAGTATTCCACAGGTACCACCACTGCTCCAGATCTCAGAACGTAGGAGAAATAAACTACAAAGAGTGGATGGTCAGAAATTGATCTGACCTGCCAATCAATCCACTCATCCACTCACTATCTCGTTGGCTTATTTTAATAGTTTCAGCAGCCACAGATTCTGATTCCCACCAAAGCAAAAAGCTGCAGTGATTATTGCATGGTATGTACTTGGGCATACAACCCACACTGGATGGAAAATAGATGGTTCCACTCCACACAGACTGTCACATTTTCACACTTTTGCCCTGACTGGATTCTTGTACCCGTCTTTCACTCCTCTCTGGACCTCTGCAGATATTCTCTTGTTATATCAAACGCCTTACAGTGAACCTACAGTTTATTCTCTCTTTGAAAAATTTTTTTTTTCTCCTGATAGAATGAATCTTAGAATACAATATTACAACCATCGATTTCTTGCAGTACCATGTGTCATTTCTTCCTGATTTCCTTAATTGCCGGTTCCCTCAACACTGAAGAGAGCAGATCAATTGGGTTAATACTAGAGATTCCTGGGAGCCTGAGTACCATCGATTTGTCAGCAGGAGAAGAATCTTACCTTCCCCAAGTTTTTGGTTCCCTCTTCAACATTCACAGCAGCAGTGTTGACATGGTCTGCAATGCTGTCAATCTTCTCCTGCTGAGACTAGATGCAAAGGAATTATGAGTGAGCGTTCCTGCTGGGGAGCAGCAGGAAGCCAACACACACTATTTTAATCCCTGTAATCAGGGCCCAGGGTACTGCAGCCTTGCAGTCTTAATAGCGGTTCATTAATAGCATATGATAAACCACATCGAAAGTACAAATTCACTTTCATAAAAAAAGAGGGGACTTAATTATTAGGTAATAAAAGGGTGGCACCTTTACAGTAAAAATCATCTCACACTGAAATTCATTCAAACACACAAACACATTCTCCAAATGAATCTACTTTACAAGAGGAAAAAATCCAAATAAGCATTTACATGTCATGTTGGGTTTGATGGAAAAAAACAAAAACAAAATCAACCCCCAAAACCTCCCTAACTTACCTTCTATTAAGATTCTGTTTAAAGCAGCCATATTTACCTTAGAAGTAAAATGCCCTTGATCCAATAAGCATAAATTTTTATATTTTAAGAATAAGATTATACTATGGTTTGACCATGAAATCTTTCCACTTGTGATATGCAGCAGGGAGCAGTGAATGAATTTACTGTACTGAGTTTTACACCTATATACTATACACACTCTAGAGTCACAAGTTAAAATATTCCATATAAAATATATTAACAAAGTACAATATGTAAAATAGCAATACCTGAGCACACACAACAGCAATTGTGAGTCATGGAATGTGTGGGCAGGAAAAATGCTAAAGGGTCAGGAGTGCAATTTTCCCGTCCGACCACTGCAGCGCCACTACATTTCTGGAGAGTGGTTACTGAACCGCTGCTAAAACTCCAGCGACAAGAACGACATTCCTTGCCACAGGGACATATTTCTATTTTAAAATCCACTTTAGTTAGAATTTATGTACAGAAATATATACTTATTTTAATGGTGTAGTATGATGAACTCTGACAAATGTATAAATCCAGTAACCATTACTACAAGTGGTATATGTTTTGTCTTAACTTGTAGAAAAAAGAAAGGAGAATTTCTTTCATTCCAGATAAATGCCACCTTCTACAAAGCGTGAAACAATTCATTGTGAATCCTGGAGTATTTGACTGTCCTTATATAACTGACCTCTTCATTTAAACTTGGGCAGATATAAATAACACTTCTAATTCCAATCAACATTTGAGTACAACATGAAACTTAAGCAACACAGCTGATTTTTTTCCTCATGCTTTCTTCCTATTAGCATTATTAATATTCCTTCCTTTCCTAATATGTGCATTTTCACTGTCTGGCCTTTTGTGGCATCGCTTCATTGTATGATTCGCCACCACTATCTTGACACCTTTAATAGAATCCTTTAAAATGTCCTTTTTTCTGTGTTCCTTTGAACATCTGTCAGAACCAAGTCTGACAACTGTTCTCTGACTTAAGTGAGCACCAGAAGCAGGGCTTCTTAAAGCACAGATTGCTGGGCCCCACCCTCAAACTTCTGCTTCAGTAGAGCCTGAGAATTTGTGTTTTTAATAAATTCTCCAGTAATGCTAATCAGATGATTCTCACATTTTAAAAATCATTATCAAATACAATAGGACTAAGGGTCAACCTCTGGTCAGACATCCAGTTTGACTTCAGCACTGCCACTTTGCGCACTAGGACAGGGTATTTGGATTTCTAGAAGTCATTACTCTCATCTGTCAAATGAAGGCAATTTATACCTCACAGAATTGAAAGAATAAAATATCTGCAAAGTACGAGGAGGGAAATAAAAAACCCATCCCAATCTCAAGAATGTGTTAATTCTCATCTATCTAAAAATATATTAAGCTTTTCCTAAGGTGCTTGAAAATTCTATGGCACCCAAACATTAAATCTCTCCTAGTACTCATTCACTAAATTTTAATTTTCTTAGCAAAATTTATTTAAGTCAGTTTTTCTTTTCCAATCCACAGAAGTAAAGTGCCAGCACTAGCAATGTCTAACTTGCCTGGATTTTTGACAACCTACCATTGTCTCTATTTGGGACACCCCCAACACTTTCCAGCCTTGCCTGAAAGAGTCTATGTTAGCAGATACATCACAGGAGTAAAATTTTACCATCACTCTTCATATCTCAATGAGTAAAGGGTAGAGGAAAAATAGTCCCTGTGCCTCCTTTTAGTCCAACATAATTCTAGCCATGAGGTCGGGGGGTGTCTGTTGCTATTTCCATACACCAAGTGTGATCTCAGAACCTCAAGGAAATATTTTTAATGCTCATTTCTTTAAAAGTTTGAGTATCAAAACATAAGATTTTTAGAGTGAAATTTTAAATACTTCTATTTTTTTCACAAAATCTTTGGAATAATCAGAAAAGATTACAAGAAAAAAAAAACAATCCTGGGTTACTGTTTTTTGTAATTATAGCGCCTTCTATCACTGTACTCACTAGTATCTTAGACCCATCTTAACCTGGGGAGGACTCAACATCTGCAAGTACTCAGTCATTGATATCAGGAAGCTTGCTTAAATACAAGGCATGGGAGTAAGGCAGAGGGCAGAAAGCCACTATTCTGAGATTAACAGTCACCCCCCACTTGTGCAGATCCACCTTTCTCTTCTTATTGTGTTTGGTTTGAGTCTTCAAACTGCCCGTATCTTCAGATTCTGCTTCATGAATAAGACTCAATGACACCCACAGAAAGGCATCAAACTGGTACCAGAGAGTTGGCAGTCTAGTTTGGCATTTGTCAGTACAAGGCCAAACTAAACTCCATTCAGAGCCCGAACTGGCTATCCTTGGCTCTTTACGCTGGGCCAAAGAACAACATGATCCTATCCCAGTCTATGAAGCCAAGTTCCAAGCAACAATAGTAGCTCAGAAGTACCCACCAAATTTCTTTTTGCCTCTGATTTGCTTGATTTTCTTCATCTAGGCCTCCCACATGTGAAAATCTTCATACTCCCTTCTGTCTGGCATTTTATTCTTTGGTACTTGTTAAGTATTCTCAATATCCCTTTAACAAAATAAGCTATACCATTTATGAGAGACATTACAGTTTTTTCCTCAAACTAATGCTGATGCAATTTATTTATTTATTTATTTTTGGTACCAGGGACTGAACTCGGGACCTTGTGTTTGTGAGGCAGGCAGCAGGCCCATGTTGATCCTTTTTAAAGGGGAAAAATTCTCAAGATTCAAAGAATATGTCCACGGATTTTCTGTTTTTATTTTTTTTATTTTTTATTTCTAGGTACCAGGGATCTAACTCTGGCCCTTGCGCTTGAGAGCAGGCAGCAAAACCATTGAGTCAAATTCCCAGCCCTGGATTTTCTTTTAAGGAACACTGAATTAGACCCTCTATTGGCCTGCAAATAACTGAATTTTGATAAAAAGTTATAGGAGCACCTACATTTCTGAAGAAAATGTTATCCATGAACTTACCACTTATTAAGCAGAACACGATTTGGACAGATGAATTCAAAACTAATGAGGAATCTTTTTTTTTTTCCTTTGAATATTTGTTGTGAGCTCCTGCTCTCTATCAAATAATAAGAGTCAATAAATTCAACCCTAAGTCCATTTACATCAATAATCTTCCATCATCTTCCATGGAGAGTTAGTTATGCAATTTTATTAGTGTGTTTATAAAACTATGGATTCTTTAGGGAGATAATGCCAAAATCCCAGATATTTTTCTTTATTCTTCCCTAAGTTCCAGCTTTAATCATACAGTCATATATACAGAAAAGCCCAGAAACAAACCTATAAACACTATGATATACAGGCAGAGTAGAGGATTATATCTAAAATAAAAAATAAACAGAGAAGCAAGATGCTGACTCAGGGGACTCAGCACTGGAAAAGGAACTCACAGAACTCCAATAATACAATGTGAAAAGGTAATGTTGGTGACTAAAGTAGTCTTACATAAGCCAAAGGGAACCTAGGGAAAGATAAACGCAGTTGAGGTCAATGGAAGGGAAAAAGTTGGGAAGTCAAAGACAGTATTCTGTTTAGTCCTCTCATTGCTTTTACACAAAGCTCACTGTTATCAAATAATATTCTGAAAGTCAAATAGGTAATAATGGAGGACTAGGATCTAATCCATTGCAGCCCAGTTTTTATGTATATAGAATAAAACTGGATTTCAAAAGCCATACAGAATAAGGCAAAAAGTAGAAATCAAAACAGGATCAAGGGTGACAAGCTGTTGAACCAGAGTTCTTTAATTCTCCTTGGTTATAAAAAAAAAAAAAAAAAAAAAAAAAAAAGAATTTGAGCCATAAAGGCTAAAGACTAATGAAGAAATAGAATAGGGTGCCTGGTAAATATTAATTTATTAATATTTATTGGGGCATACTATGATTTCCGAATAGCTTTCTAAGCCCTTTTTATTGAGGTAGGGTATATATAATATAAATTTACCATTTTAACCATTTCTAAGTGTATAGTTCAGTGGCATTAATGTTCACAGTATTGTGCAATCAGTACCACTATCCTATAGTTTCTTTTTATATTGTGCTCTATTTTTCTTTGAGCTTAGTAGAGTGCTACATACACAGAAAATATTCCTTTAGTGCATGGTTAACTTGCCTAGATACTATCGTGTCCATGTGATGATAATAAGAGGATGTGGTCACTCTGGTTATATTCCCGGGTCACTCTCTACCTAAATGGAGCTTCTGTGTGTCCTTGGCCATGTGGTCATGAGAACTGTCACCCTAGGAATAATAATCAGGCGTTAGCCTTTGAGCTTTTGCCAATAGCATCCTGCCTCATGTCCCTGCAGAAACTGTTATAAATGGGACATTTGTATAGAGATAGGGCTACAGCCAGAGTCTTCCTGTATGAAGACTCCTTAGAATGGGGTTAAGATTGCTTACGTAACATGATTGAACATGTAATTGTTAAATGGCCTCAAACTTTACTTTTCCTTTCACATGCCTACACCACTGGAAGGGAAATGTGTTTGTCTTGAGTGAGAATAACTTTGCACATGTTTAGCTTTTTAAAAAAATCAACTTTATTGAGTTTTAATTCACGTACATTAAAACACATTTAAGCATACATTTTGGCAAATGTATGTATTTACTTAATCATACATGTATAGAATTTACAAACTGCATTAGATTCAGGGATTAGTTATAATAACTAAATCTCGACTCAAGCAACACATATCTTGGGATTCTTAGTGTATCATTTCTTGCTATATGCAAATATATTAATAGGTTGTTCCAATATTTTGCTTCTTCTGATGCAGAGGCATCAGAAATCAAACAACTAAAAAAAAAGAAATCAAACAATTCATTGTATCAAATTTTAGTGATTATATTTCAAGAAAATAGCCACAAACCAGAACTTAAGCAGAATAAGGGAACAGTAATGAAAAGTCTAGAAATCTTGTTTTAGAAGGAACACCAAAAACTTAAGGGTTCTTACACAATGAAAATATGGTGTACTTAAGTAGGGTGAGGAAGAATGATACTGGTCTCAAAATTTTGAGAACTTTTTATGTAGAAAAAAGATGAGCTTGCTTAGCATGTGGTTCTAGAGGGTAAAAGTACCAAAGAGAAGTCATTATAGGGCAGATTTCATATTTAAAAGTCTCCAAATGAAATAGTTGTAGTATCAAAATTCCCTGTACTGTACTTGTTCAAAAAGAAGATAAAAAACTATTTATTTTAAAAGTTGTGGCAAGAACACAGGGATTAGGTCAGTTGGCCTCTTGAATCATTTCCCATTCTAATTCTAGACTGTGTGATCTAGAAACTTCTAACTTAAAGTTAGATCCCAGGGAAACTACACACACACACACACACACACACACACACACACACACACACAATATATCCATATTTCCTTCCTTTCCATAATTCCTAGGAAGTGAAACTAAGAACAGTTTTCAAAATACTGATAATCTACTACCTCTCACTAAAACTACTGTGTGCTTCCTAATGTATGGTAACAGTATCACTGGGACCTTACTATGCAGAACAAAGCTGTAATGCTCCTTATCTTTTACTCTGTCTTCCTCCAATTTCTGCGAAGTTTACTCTAGAAATACCTTCTATCTGTCCTTTTCCTTTATACTGGTGTTGCCATTGCTCCAGGTTAAACTCCTGCAGTTGATTCCTCACTAGTCATCCTACCCATGACCTTCCCACTCCCCTCATTATTTACACAATATGGCCTTTCTAAAGGACAGTCTAGATGACATGACTTTTACTTGCTCAAAAACTCTACATTAACTCCTTAATGACTACCAAGTAAAGCTCAGATTCTTTAGTATGGCATTCAGTACCATCATGACCTGGCCTGTAGCCTCCTTCCTTGCTCATGGTAGCTGGTGCTTTGGTTGTACACAGTACTTACACCTTATAGGCCATATATTTCTCTATGTCATGTCTTGGTTCAGCTGTCCTGAAATGCACTCCTTTCTTCCCCTCTGAACAATTTACTCCTTTCCAAGCCTCATACAACCTTTGTTAAACTCTACTTAGTATTCTGACCTTACAAACTGTGCATCCCTACCTTGGAATTAAACATCTTCTTGGAGCAGATGACATTTCTCTTCATATCTTATTATGGCAGTTAATTATCATGCCTGAAAGCTCAATTTTGGGGGGGTTCAAGCCTATATACACCTATTGTAGAATGCTTATAGCAGAGAGCAGACTTCATTTATTTCTATAATCAACCTTGTCAGACTCCAATAGTGAGCATTTACCCAGTGCTTTTCATATAACAGATGCTGATAAATGCTTATTTAATGGATCTGGAATTTGAGAAAAGTTACAATTTTATCCGTAGCTTAAAACCAGTCTTAACAAGTTTTAACTTCTATTAAAATTCTACTCAAAAGTGTAGTATTTGATCAAAACTATTCTAATAATCTAACAATTCTGGGGTAAAAACGGCTTTATACTTACATAAACTAGGAGAGAGAAATCAGTGACCAGTTGGTTAAGTTCAATTAAGTCCTTAAAAAGAGAGAGAATGGAAATTACTTATTTTTATGCCTCACATTTACCAAAAAGGAAAATAATTTTTAACATACCGCTTCTAAGGTTTCCCATGATTCTGCAGCATTTTGATCTCGAGGAATTTCAGGCAATGCATTTATCTGAGTCAAGCTCTGAGAATCAGCTTCAGCTTCAGGAGTGTGAATTGCTCCTGTATGAACAGATCCATATTCCGAGTTTGCTTTTTAGAAAGGATGTAGCATGAATCAATTATACAACACAACTACCATGTACAATGTGTATTAATTAAATTTGAGCTAAAAGCAAATTGATTATTCTGTAAAAATAGAATCATTTATCCTTGAACAGCTGGTTTCTAGCTTAGTTAACATGTTTTCCTCCTCTTATTTACAAAGCCATCGAAAAACTGACTACAAATATTATCTACCTATTTGGAATAACCAGGGATAGATGTGGAAGAACTAGCAAAGGGGATCTAGTCTATTTAGTAATGTTCCATGAAGAGACACACAGTAGAAATAGGTTCAGTGTTTCACCTAAATCCTTTCCCTTGTATTTGGCTTCTTTAGCAAAAATTATCAGATATACAAGGTGTTACAAATAGGTCAATGGGGATGGGACATAGCTGAATACTTACCTAGCACACACAAGGTTCTGGGCTTAATTCCCCATGAAGGGGGGCTGTTGAGGGGAAGTAAAGGAGTCATTGTTTTTAGACAATGAAAATTAATAAACTGACAACAATGTGGCGGCCACCAAATGAACACTTTGCCATGTAAATCTTTTCATATATATTGTCACTCTTGTCCTTAATGTCAATCTTTTGACCCATGCTGTATCTTTTAACCCTTCTGAGTTTTAAAAAGCCTTCCACCCATTGCTACTTTACTTATTAAACACTGCTATACCAATAAATTAATTCATACTTAAAAATTCACCTTCAAGTATTTATTTCCTCATATTGATTTTGACAATCCTCCATTCATTCAAGTGACATTTATTATTTGCCTACTATATGCTAATTGGTGGGCTAAGGTGCTCAGGACACAATGGTAAAATATAAAAACAGTACTGAGGAGGCATCATAGTGTAGTTGTTAGAAGCATGAGTCTAGTCAAAAAGACCTGATTAAAATTCTAGCTTAGCTATTTACTAGCTCTCTGACTTGAGAAGGTGTTTCAACTCTGGCTTATTTTCCCCATTTGTAAAACAAGGTAATGTTAATTTTGCATAGCATCTGGCTTATTTGTACAAGTGTTTAATAAATAGTTACTACTACTGCTGCTGCTATTATTATTATTATTATTAACAGAGCTTAGATTAAATTGTGTGATATAGATCTGTTAATAGTAATGTTCAGTCAGGATGATCTGATAGGAACTATTATATGGCTAAGTCTGGACTACTGTGTGAGTCCAGAAGAGAGGCATTAAACCTTGACTTGTGGAGAGGGTGGTCAGAGATGGTTCTGAGGGTGAACAGAAATCACATAGGTGGTTTAGGGTGGGGATACAGGGAGATGCAGAGTACAGCATTTAGGTCAGGGAGAACAATATGCACATTGGCTTGGGAACTGAAAGATGTAGCTGATGCACAGATTGCAATAAAATGAAAAGCAAAGGTTGAGACTAGAAATCTAAGCTATTATTCTTAGCATGCTGAAGAGCTGTGACTTTCTCATAAGATCACTATGGAGCTATCAAAACGAGCTGAATACTAGTAGGAAGCTGAAAGAATGTCATGATCAAATTTTAGATTTAGAAAAGAAGCTATAACTATAGTGTGAAGAATACACTGAGGATGGGGATAAAAGGTGAGAAAATTAGAGAGTTAAAGACCAGTTGGGGTGCTGGGTATGGTGGCACACTCCTGTTATCCCAGCACTTGGGAGGCTGAGGCAGGAGGATCGCTGTGAGTTAGAGACCAGCCTGGGCTACACAGCGAGTTCCAGGTCAGTCTCAACTACATATTGAGACCCTGTCTCATTAAAAAGCATAAAGAATGTAACACACTCGTCTAAAAAAAAAAAAAAAAAAAAAAAAAAAAAGACCAGTTGGGGGATGGGGGATTTAGCTCAGTGGTGCCATGCCTGTCTTAAGCACAGCGTCCTGAGTTCAATCCCTGGTACAGAGAGAAAAGAACAACAACAATAACAGCAATAAACAGTTGGGAAGCTTTCTAATATATCCAGTTCAAAGTTACCCTCACCAGCTTTAGGACAGTGGTAGTGAAATGTAGAGACCTGAAGTTCTACTTTTTCTCCTTTACTGCCTATCATTTTAACATTTTCTGACCACTTGTTATTTATTGCATATGGTACCAGGGATGAGAAAGATGTGAATAATAAAGAGTACCTGCTTATATTATAGAGAACTTATAGATATATAGAGACAAACATAAAATAGTAGGTGAAGACACTGATATCTAATTAGCTCCATAAATAGATATACACACATAGAGTATTTTGTGGGAGTGACATCTGATCCTGCTGGATATGGCATGTAGTTTATGGGAAGGCTTCTTCTTAGAAAAGTTGATAATACTAGGCAAGAGGAGAGGAATATAAATTCTAGATAGAGAGACTGGCATCAACAAAAGTCCTCAAAAGAGAAACAACAGAGCTAAAATAAAATGAGCAGTTTGGTGTTACCAAAACACAAAGTGAAAAACAGTTTCAAGTGTAAAAGACATCATATATATTTAGGACTTTGCTGACCAGTTAGACTTAAGACTTGACTTAAGACTTTATCTGGAAAACAATGGAGAGTTGCTGAGGGTTATAAGCAAGTTTTGAAATGACATCATGACATGTGACCTAATTTACTAAAAGTCAGTCATTACACAATTCTAAGTTCATATTTTCTTTCAATTTCTTTTCTTCAATTAAGCCTATAATTGAATGATATTTTATAAAACTACATTACCATTTTATCTTCAAAGTTTATGAACATTTACCTTTTAAGGAAAAACTTGTTTGAACTACTTAGGATGGCATAGTCAGTTGACTAAAAAATAATTTGCAGGTTTATCAGAATTGAAGGTGTTCTTTTAATTCTGAACTTAATATATTTCTTTAAATTAAAGAACAAAAATATCAGATCTGGAGTAAGTTTTACATGACAACATTATGACAAATACATAATGTTTTAAAAGATCTTAATGAATTTGGAAATGCTTTAGTTATCTAGTCTATACTTTAAGATATCTCCATGGAGACACTTTCATTTTCACTTCAACCAGGGTAAATTAATTATTCTATGACCTTTCTTCCACTTAATAGTCCTATGTACTGATGAATAATGACAATTTCATTACCATTATCAAACCAAATGCAAAACAGGGCTTTATAATTTCCCTCACTTATAAAGCTTTTTTAAAGCCATAAGTTATGCAATGTTAAAGAGCATTTAAATGAAGTATGCCAGGGGACACAACAAAATGAGGAGATATTATGATATGTAAGTTGTTTATCAAAAAATAAGGGATGGGAAATCTTTGACATTTTAAACATAAAAGATTTCCTTCAGTAAAAAAATTTAAAAAATGTTTAAGTCATTTCCTTAACTCACTTGAAACCAAACTGCGTATGCATCCTAGTTCAAATACAATCTTAGAACAAAGAAGTCTATTCTCTTCCACAGAAAACCATGCTGTAAACTTACAACTCTCAACATCACTGATCAATTCAAAGCATAACTGTCAATTAAGAAAGCTTGAACCTCAATGACCATCCTATGACTGTGAACTCTTACACACTGCCATGGACGTGCTAAGACAAAACACTGAGACAGATTATAGTTATAGGAAAGAAGCTCAAGAACTTTAGCCTGTTCACAAAGGTCAAACATTGCAATTGTTTCATATTATATAATAATCTCAGTTCCACTCACATTTAAACAACTACAAGCGTAAATGGCAAGTGTTTCTGTATGTGTATGTATCATTCCTCACTATTCTTCAAACACCAAAATGATTTTAAACCTCATTATTGGCTAAAAATTCAAGCAAACATTACAAAAGTTGACTTACTGTAGTTGAAATGAGAAATAAGCTAAGTAATCTGGACATAAGACTTTTCCCTCCTCTTTGTTATGCATCCAAATATTCTCTCCCTCTCTCTCTCATTCACCATACTGCATGAACAATGATTCTACCAAGAATTACAACACAATTTATATGAAATTTCCACTAAACTGCATTGTATTAGAAATGTTTCACAGCTCAAAGGCCCATCAACTGACAAATAGAGAAAGAAGATATATATATTTCTATACAATGGAGTCCTACTCTGCCATAAAGAAGGATGAGCTTTAGACATTTATAGATAGATGGACCTTGAGACCTTACTCTTAAGTGAAATAAATCGAACACCATGTTTAAAACAAAATAAATGCTTCACTATAAATATGAATTAGTTCAAAAGCATTGCTTAAATTTTTAAAGTTGCTAGCTTAAAAATAATGAAATTAATTTACCATCTGCTTAAACCTATCCATCCAAATAAAATACTTCTGTCACAACTTAACTACAAAAGACATTCAAGAAAGTTAAAACCAACAGAAAACATATCTTGAACTATATAATTCAAAACCATCTACATGCTTCACAAAACTGTACATATATATACTAGAGATAAAAATCCAATATTTCATCAAATTCAATATACTGGTCTGAAGTTCCCAGGAGTTTTAAGATTGGATTCTTTTCTCTTGTGAATATTTGTTTAAAATGTAATAAGATTCTGTTCCTATTATGCTGCTGAAGTGTGACCCTGGATGGAAAAAAAGAAATACAAAAAAATGTAGAGAAGCACTTACTCATTCTGTATGGTTTCAATCACCTTTCTAAATAAAAATCAGATTTGTGGGCTCATCATGTCTCTTGGTGGGAAGCAAATGCAAGAAAAAAGGGAAACTAAGCACACAACTGAGCCCAAAGGGAGTTTCTTAGATCAAGTAAGATTGGTAAAGAAGATTTGCATTAGGAACTCTCAGAATCTGGACAAAAGAAAGCAGTGTAAGCATCACAGATCCCCCCTAAACTTAATAAGCTTCTTTCCTTCTCCAGAGAACATAAAACACCCTATTTGTTTTCTGTCTATAAACGATCTTACTCATGAAAATGTGGGAACATTGCTCCTGAAACTGCTGATGTTTCCAACGTATTTATTTAGAATCAGATTTGTAAAGAAAAAATTATTTTAAGGTACGTCTATGCAAATAAAAGACATTTTTCAGTATAGGCTGTCACTACTATAATGAGTATCTAATGCAAAAACAAGGAAAAACTGGAGAGTATGGAATAAAAACATGTAGAATGACAGAAAAGAGTCCACAGCCAGAGATGACCACATTTGGAGCAAACCCAATTCCTACCCCACTATTAAAGTCTTACGTAAATCACTCATATTTTCTCATTATTCTTCTCCTTTCCCATCCTCTCTATTATTTGTTAATAATCTTTCTAGACTCCAGATAATCTAGTAGAAACTCACCCTGTGTAAACAACTTAGGTACTTGTTGAAACAGTAATTTTAATTTCTTTTATGTTCACAATGAATTCATAGTTCAAAGCACAATCTGATCAAGGGATTATTCAAAATTTGAAATGCTATACCCTGTTTTAGGTATAACTAAGGTATGTGATTTTATAAATAGAATGATTTTTTAAATCAAATCAGCACTACTTTGTAGTCTTCTCCTACTGGCAAGTAATTAGATGTTTAGCTTATTTGGTATCCCATGAATTTAGAAGTTTGAGAATCAACAGAGTTGGCAAATGAATTTCACCTATTTCTTTTTCATCCTCTGGATCTGTCCTAATCTTTTCTATTTCCTCTATACACATGCTTCCTCAAATTTTGCCAATCTTAGTTTGTACCAGTCTGCTTCATATAGAGAAGGTTACTTGTTAGCAAACAGGTTAAACTACCTTCACCCAACTCCTTTGGTGATATATAAACCCACATTTATTTAGCACAAACAGTTCTATGGTAGAAACATAAATAAGGCAATAATAAAATACAAATCAGAACAAGTATTAGATTGTTGTTATACTGTATTGTGCAAAAATTCCCGGAACTCAAAATTTTTGCTTGATGGGGAATTGATGATGGGTAATTCAAAGCTAAATAGTAACAGAGACTGATGCTGGCTACTCTGCAGAAAATCCAGCTCATCTTCACTGTTATTACTGCCATCATTAACTGTCACAATATCTGGGCACATAGGATGTCTCCTTAATCACATGGAACTGCAAAGCTCAGCTTCTCTGCATACGCCGGATTGCACTAGGTGATAAACACAGTCTTCACTCTCACCAGTATGGTGGTGATAATTATAGATGAACTAATAATGAAAACAGCAACTAAAAACTAACAAAAAGCATGATTCCCAAATATTCTTCAATCAAGGTTTGAGTGCTAAGTGTTGGTTATCTAGTGATGTAATTACAGCACATCTGAAATTACAAAATTGTTCCTATAAAGATATTTATTAATTTATATTTATAAAATAGTTATGAATAGTCTACTAGTACAAAGCATTGTGTTAGTTACTAAGGGGACAACAAAAGAAATATTATCCAGAAACTCTGGATGATGGTCTAAATGTTTTTTCCAATTAAAACAAAATTCTCTGCAAATTACTAAATAAGTAGCACTGAAAATATAAAATTAGAAACAACCTGGATTTGGAAATAGAGTGGGGCAGGAGGGCCTATAAATAGAAAAAGAAAAATTAGGCAAGGATAGTATTCTTAACATTCTATTTAATTTGTACTTATACCCCTCTGTTTCCATTAGGATTAAAGGCATCTTATAATACACAAAATGTAATAAGGTAGAATAAAGTTAAAACATAAACAATACAATGAAAACCAACCAACCAACCAAACAAACAAACAAAAAATCCAAGGGCAATAATTATAAAATAAGACCAGTATATTTAAAAAATTTAACTTTTGGTTTAAAAATTTTGGCTTTAAGCTTTCTAATAGGCATCCCAAGTAGGGAAACCTTAACAATTATTCCACTCAATAAACATAAGAATAATAAAAAAGATCAGCTACTTAAGCCAATAGTTTTCTTGGGAGACTATACTATTATACTGTGATCAATATCACTTATATCCTCAAAAATGATATAATGATTAAGTTTCACATGACAGTTTCTTCACAAAACTTGATAGCACAATCTCCATTGTATATTTTTTATGCTGTCAGTTAAATTTGGATAACTGATTTAGGCAATAGGTCTAACGATCTTGTGAAAACTAAAATGCTTAAGAAAAAAAAGTAGTCACTCCTACAGTGCAGAGGGGTGAGAAGTAAGCTACATACAAAGGATGACATTCTCCTTAGGAAATTCCTTAAAATTTATTTTTAGCACCTAGCCAAATAGATATTGAAGTCCTGAGTTCCAGACCTTGCAACAATTTTACCCCAAGGGTACATCATTTCTAGCCCACTCAGTGCTCAAAGATATATAATGGGATAGCAAGTGATCCCTGAAGACCTACAGATAATCTACAGTCTCTAGTCAAGGAGGTGAGCTTTAATTAACTTCATTATTGTGGTCAAGAATAAGACTTAGTATAATACGTTACCACCAACAGTCATGGATCTGGTCAAAGAAGGCTGTAATAAAGTTTCTTCATCATTAAATTGTTTCTTAAGTTCTTCGACAGATGCCAAATGGAGTTGGAGAAATTCAGCTGTTGCTGCTGATGCTTCTTCTTTAACAGGATCTAACATTCTCTTCAGAAGTATCAGGTCATCCTTTCGGACTTTCAAACAAAGCTTCTCCATTTCTCGAATATTGGAGCGGAGTTGCTAGAAAAAAAATCATTAATGCCACAAGGTAAAACATATTTCTTTTAAGAAGTAATTTGCTATAATAGTTTTAAGTGGAAAAGGGTACATATTCTGTACAGGAGAGGGTGTGGAATAATACTTTTCTATTTTCCATGTCTCTAGTTAACTAAATCAAGCATCTTTAGAACTCACATCCTCATACTTTGAATTTGTTCAGCAATTTTTCACTACTTAAATGTGATTGCTGCAAAGATATTGAATGAACATAATTAACACTGTAACAAATTATAAAAAGAAGTTTCCCATTTCACCAACCTCATCTCCCAACTTAACCCAATTCTTCTACACATTCTCATGGCTTATGCACACATTTAAAATAAATAGGCTTTTATAAAGAAATGGGTAACATTATGCATAATAATCTATAATCTGTCACTCTAGAAAATATCATTATCATTCCTCTTGGTTAATAGCCATACTGACCATATTTCATAGTATCACTCCTCCAGTGATCAACAGTCATTAATCTTTCCAGTTTTTATCACCAACTATAAAACAAATATCCTTGCACATAAATCCTAATACACTATGATAGTATGTATTAGCATGATAGCATATAGTAATACAGTATTTTCAGTGTAAATAATTCTGAGAAATGGGACTATCCAGAGGATTCTGCACATTTTTATCCCAGTTTTTCCCCCCAAAGCTATACACTAATATCAAAGTATGCATCCCCAGTCCCCCACATGCTGCTAGTACAGGTTTAAGGTCATGTTAGCTAATTCTCCATTTTTTCAATGGTCTGTCATTTTGAAAAACAAGCAAACAAACAAAAAACCAACTATTCTTTGAAGATTAGATAGAACTTTTCAAGAATGATCTAAGACTTAGGCTTTAAAAACTTACAGATCTCTATATGATAAGATCTCTTATGCACACATTTAAAATAGGCCTTTTCTCTTTTTTATAAAGAAATGGATATCATTATGCATAATAATCTATAATCTGTCACACTAGACAATATAACCATTTTAAGTTATTTTCCTTAATATGCTTCTACAAATAATGCAAACATTATACAACACAAATATTAATTTCTTAAGAGCCTACTCTGTGTGACATGATACATGATTACATTTCATGTCATTCCATATAGAAAAAGTAAAATAAGACAAAACAACAACTAATTTGGGATTTACTTAGTTATCTAATGATAAAGGTAGGGTTAAAACCAGGTACTCCTAAGGGCCAGGGATTTAGCTCAAGGGATTTGGTTCTGCTACCTGCCTTTGCAAGCTGCTCAAGGTCCCGAGTTTGATCCCCGGTACCAGCCCCCCCCAAAAAAAAAACAGGTACTCCTCTGTCTACATGCTTATCTATAATGTATCTTAATGCAATCTAAGTTTGCATTTGACTCTAGTAAAACTAACTTTGAAAAGAATAGTTTAGTTCCACCTAAAGCATCTTGTAAGATTTTTCTGGGTAAATAAAAAATTTTAGCCTCTATCCTACCATGACATTGTAGTTTTTCCTTTTTATCTTCCCTCTTTCCATTCCAGTGTAAGCTAGAAAACTTCAGAATAACTGGTCTGTACATTCAAGCCATACGATACATTGGCATTAATGTAACTCTAAAGGGGCTTTAGTGCTATTATCTAGTCCAACCTGATGATTTTAAATAAGAAAATGAGTCCAAACAAATGCAATGGCAGACTTAGGACTGACAATCAGGTCTCAAATCCCATAATGATACTGTTCCCAACAAACCATTAATTCCTGGCTATCAGAGTTCTTTCTGGGTTATAATTTCCACACAGTCTACAGAGGTAATTTAGGCAATACTACCTTGAAGAAGCAGTAAATTTTTTTTTTTTTGTAGACAAACCTAATGAACTGATATATGCTTTCTCTCTCTTTTTTTTGGGGGAGTGTACCAGGGATCAAACTTGGGTCCTTGCGCTTGTGAGGCAGGCAGTGGAACCACTGAGCTAAATCTCCGGCCCTCTTTCTCTCTTAAACAATTTCTTTGTATGTATGTGTGTGTCCCCAGTCAATTACAGTGCCCAGCTAAGAATTCTTTTAGTTTGGGTAAATGAGATTTTTTTTTTTTGTACCAGGGATCGAACTTGGGTCCTTGCACTTGCAAGGCAGACAGTGGAACCACTGAGCTAACTCCCTGTCCCCAGAAATTTTGAAAAGAGAAAAAAATAAAGATAATGCCCAACTGAAGTGTAAAGTCTGATACTGTAATAACAAAAGCATACCTAATGGCTAAAGTTTTATCAATATTTATTTGTTATCTCTTGTGCTAAATGCTTTGCTTCTTTCATGTTGTTTTATCTTCACACACTATCTTTGAAATGGATATTACTATTACTCATTTTACAGAAGTGTATGTGCTACCGAAGTGAGCACATCATCTTACAGAAGTGAAAATTAAAACTAAGTACAAAAAGTAGTCCAGAATTACACTGATATTAATTGATACAGGCAGGAATCATATTCTGGCTTCAAATCTTGTGTTCTTAACAACTTTACTATATGACAACACTATCCAACAGAAATGAAGTGCAAGCTACATATTCATTTTAAAGAAATAGTCATGTTAATAAGGGAAAAAAAACAAGTGAAATGAACTTTAATATTTTTTATTTAATTTTATTTAACCAAAATTCATCTAAAATATTAGTTCAATATAAAATCAATACAAAAGTTATTAATTAAATATTTTATATTCTTTTATTTGTAGTAGGTCTTAGAAATTGGGTATATATTTTATATTTACAGTGCATCTCAATTCAGACCAGCCACATTTTAAGGCTCAACAGTAATATGTGACTAAGAAACAACCCAATGATGAACACAACAAAAATCTCTTAAAATCAAATGGAACAGGATGACAAAACTATATATGAGAAACAAAACTAAAGTAGCTGTTTCTGCTTTTGAATAGAGCATATACTAGGTGACTCAGACTAACTCTTCTACCAAGGACTAATTAAAAACTGAATTTAAAAAAACCCCACAAAATCACCTAAAAGATAAAAACCTCAAAAGCTTCAAAAAGCAAACAAGTCAGTAATTTTCAGGACAAGAATTGGGCTAAGATGGTACTCCATGAAAATGAGTCTTGAACTCAGAACCATGTTTGGTTTGGGAGTATTTGCATACCATGTGGAAACTCAGAAAACTTAAGATAAAACTTCGTTAGGGCCTGCTAAGAACAGTAAGGCCTGAAGCTTTAGACTGGTATCATAAGGGCCGGGGATTTAACCCAGTGGTTCCAGCGCAGGCCTTGCAGGTATAAGGTCCTGAGTTTGATCTCCAGTACCAAAAAAAAAACAAACCAAAAAAACCCCACACAGAATGAATGGTATCATAAAGTGATGCACCCTAGGAGCACAGATGGTCCTACAATAAAGGAGCCCTCACATGAACTGCAAAATGGGTTCCTGTCTCTTGAGTAGCTCATACAAACCTTAAGCTTTCAAATTGTATAAAAATAATCTTAGAAACTTAGTGTCTTCTGGGGCATAGAACAAATAAATGAAAATCTCAGGAGGAACACAGTATCATCCCTTGGATCAAATGATTCTTTAGTTGAGGGGGGTTGGTTTATTGAAACAGGGTCTCACTTGAACTCACTATGATGGCCTTGAACTACTATGAAGACGAGGTAGCCCTTGAACTTGCAGTAATCCTCCTGTCTCTGACTCCTGAGTGCTGGGGTTACAGGCATGCATCACCAAACCTGACTAAAGAACTTCTATAAGTAATTTTTCAAATGAAATGCCCATCAATCAAAGACAATTAAGCCCATGAGGATATATGCAATATGAAGAAGAAATAGCAGAGAAAACAAATGAATACCTAATATGGGAAATTAACAGATGTAAAACTAAGTTATTTTGTTCAAAGATATAAAAAAAGCTTGAAAATTCAACAGACAATTGGAAACTAAAAAAAGCAACACAGAGATTTAAAAAGAGTATTTTAAAGCTTTGAAATATTGTCCAAAAGAAAGAATTTAATAAGTGACTTTAGCTGTATCTAAGGCCCAGCTTAGGAAAAACATGAACTAGAAAATAGATTTAAAGAATTATGTGAGCCAGGGATTTATTGAAGTGGTTCTGCCACCTGCCTCGCAAGCATAAGCACAAGATCCCATGTTCAATCCTCAGTATTAAAAAAAAAAAAAAGAATCTATAAGTCGGCCATGGTGGCACACACCTGTAATCCCAGCACTTGGGAGGCTGAGTGAGGCAGGAGGATGGATGTGAATTCAAGACCAGCCTGGGCTACACAGTGAGTTCCAGGTCAGTCTCAACTACATAGTGAGACCCTGTCTCAAAAAACCAAAAAAAAAAAGAAAAAAAAAAGAATCTATGTAAAAAATAACTGTGTAAAACTACGGAAAAAAGAAGGGAAGCTTAAAAAAATATAAAAAAGAAGGTAAAAGACACAGAAGACATAGCTACAGAACATACAATATATATTTATTTATAATCCCAGAGGAAGTCAGCAGACAAAGGAGTTTCTTGCAAAGAAACTGTAAAAGATCATAAAATGAGGTGTAGGGAAAGTGGGAAGGGTAGGGGAAAGGTAATAAGGGAAAAGAAAAAAATATGAGAAAATGAAAAAATGGAAATAAATTGTTTGTAAAAGGGGAGGGGAGGAGGAGGTGAAAGGAGGGCAGGGACAAGGGGAAAACATGAGAACCAAGACCTGTCATGTAAAGGTACAAGACCCCAGTGATGAATGTAACTGTATTGTATACTTAAAATGTACCAATAAACTCAATAAAAAGATCATAAAATGGCTTCACAATAGTAGTAATGAAAGCTTGAAAACAACGAAATGATATATTCAAAGTACAGAAAGAAAACTACTATGAGCTTAAAATTTTATTCCTGCAAAAATATCCCTCAAGAACAAAGGTAAGGGACAGGGATTTAGCTCAGTAGTTCTGCCATGTTCCTCGCAAGCGCAAGGTCCCGAGTTTGATCCCCAGTATT